GTTCCTTAAATACCGTTTCGGTTTAGTGTACGAGAAGTGACCAACCAACATAATCCGTTGTTTTCGTAGAAGCACTTTGCACAACGCACCGCATTATATAATATTATATTGGATACCTTGGAGGAATTAACCTTTCCTTAACGTTTCTCGCTGTACTAAGAAGATCATGGTTATGTTAGGCCAGGATCGACAAAACGTACGATTGGCCTATAATCCGATCTAAATTCGGAAACAATCTAAAGGCCATCATCGAATGACACTATAGGTTAAGTACCTAACCTATATAAGAAACTTCGGTGATTATAATTATTAGAGAGAGCAGAAACGTTTTCCGTTCTAACAGTTTTATGAATTATTTATAATAATAATAATAACTCGGTCGTATAAATAAGCCATAAATATTTTTTTGTATTTTAAAAACGCCAATATTACCTACGAACAAGGCCGTATTTAGAAATTTTCTTTTGTAGGGGTCCAAAACATGTATATTGTAATTTTATTGAATTTAAATTCCAACTTTTGATATTTGGTTAAAAATAAGACAGAAAAAGACTTAATCTTCTTTTTTCAAAATTAAAAGCAGTCAATGATAAATTGGAGCTAAGTCATTTTTGACTGAAAATATTTATGTTGTTATTAAAAAAAAATAAGTATTTTAAACATTCATAAAATATTGAAGAAATTTCGGGGGGGAGGTCCTGACACCCTGAACCCCCCAAATACGGCCTTGCCTACGTATCATTAGAAACATAATTACTTATTCTAAAATGCTACTGATCAGTGTTTCCCAAATGTGGTATTTCTCTTTAAACGGAATTTATGAATAACAGGAAGGTTAGGTACTCGTAGTAGAGTGATGATGAAACTGTGATAACAACATATTTATTAAACCGTAAAAGTTTATAATTTTGTAATTTATTTTATATTACTTTTTTTTTATAATAACTAGACTAATATGAGTTACAACTTTTTTTTTCTTCGATGATGGGGTGAGTGAAGTCAAGAAATTTAATAAAATCTAGAAGATAATTTAAAATAAAAATTATCGGGAAACAAATGTGTATATTTGGTTAGCTATCAATTCTATTGCTTTATAAACCATACTAGCTGTGTAACCTAGCCTTGCTTTGAGGTCAGAGATTTATTTATGTTTATTTTTATAAATATATCCTTGACAATAGTATGTGGAAACGTGCAGAGGAGTATTTGGAATAACTGTAAATGGAAAAAATTCCAAAAATGTCCAACATGATATGGTCTAAAAAGTGTTACATACAAAAGTAATATCTGACTTTATTCCATCATGAAAAGAAAATACAACTTGGGAATATTCGGGCAAATATAAGAATAACCAGAAAAAAAAAATAATATATCATGAAACTATTCTATTAAATAATTCTGAACATCGGTAAACAAAGAAACATGTTTTCTAGGATTATTAGTTATTTAGCCTAAGAAGATAAAACTCTAATTCTTAAGTATGAAATATAAACTGATATTTTTAGGCGAAATAAGTACTCAACTATAAGGAAACTCATTAATTTTTAATTAAGATATATAATGTGCTTTATTACGGATTTTAATGATGTAAAAAATATTTCATTGTAATTGATTAAAAAACTTGTAATGTTTACATTACATCTATATGAAACACAATAATTTAAATATGGAGCCAAAAATTATGCATCGATGTTACTTAATTAAAATGTTAATTAATAATACTATTTGTCATTTCAGATTAGTATTCGTTTTTGAACGTGAAACTAAAAAAAAAATCTAAAATAAAGTATAAACATTTTATTTAAGTACGTTTTGATATAAAAACATATGACTTAATAATTATCTTGAAAATGTTTTAGAAAAGGCAAAAGGATAGAAATAAAAATAGAACTTTTAAGTATACGATACAAACTAAAGTAAAACTAATCGACTAATCGAACTAATTTTAGCATTTTTGTGTATAGTTATCCGGGATGATAAAATTAATTTTTCTTAACTTTGTAGTATTACAATATCGATTTAGCAAAATCTTTTGATCACTAGAAAGTTAATAGGCAACAATATCATACTGTTGTTACTGAGTATTATTAATTACTCTATCTATTTCATAGAATTTCCATTTTAATCTATGGTTTAATTTCGATAAATGATAAAAATAGATTTATTTTTTTTTCGCTTAATAGAAGTCAACGGTAAAGTAGACTCAGACTAATATATACTCAGTTCAAAGATGTAAATGTAATCGATAATTTGTATTTCTCGTCGAGTGTTCAACAAACGTGCGGAAAAATATATTTTATTTAAATGTTAGAGATTATTTAAACAGACCGCCTTCAAAACAGTGCAATTTAGATTTTATACAGCGATTTCGATGGTCTTGCCTCTTTTGAAAATATCATTGTGTGTCTTCCAAAGTTATAGTCTTCAATTCCCTCGTTTCATTACAGATGGTTTCATTAACGTTTTTGAATATTCAGCCTTTCAAGGTAGTTTTTATTCTTGGAAATAATAAAAAGTCACCGGGAGTCGAGTCGGGGAAAATCGTGGTCGAGTAAATGGGTTTTTAGAAGTTCCAAACGTTTCAATACGGAATTATAATAGATGCGCTGTCGACAGTTTTGGCACTTATTTAGCGGATATAATTTTCTGATCCAACCATTAAAATCGAACGGTAAGAACCCAACGGTATAGCCCAACTTGATTGGTTACTTTTTCAAACTTCTATCGTATCTTATTTTTTTCTAACATGATCAACGATATCTTACGAGTACGTTCGTGATGTCTTAGTCACCCTGCACACCGACGAAGTCGTATCACGGACACGTACAAGTAGAAGTACGTTCGTACAAACCGTTGACATCGAAGCATATTAACATGTAAATAATATACGTGTACACGCCATAAATAAAACGTGTAGGCAGATATCTCGAGTCACTCGGTCCGTGAGAAACGACGTACTGCGTGCGTTACGTTTGCAAAACGATCTGTTTAATGACGATATAACATCGATTGGGGGGGGAGGGGGTGATAACGTAACGCAGCCACTGCGTACCAACACATATTTATTATAATCTATAAATATACGCGTTTCGTTTGTAATATTTTACCTTTCAAACGCACGACGGATACAACGAATCGATGCTTAGCGGGGCGCGTCGGTATCGCCCCGCGACAGAACACATTTTTCTCCGATCGAAACGAAAACACCTTACCTTATGACGTGGTAACTGCGCCCCCGCGTTGTTAATGCGAGTATCGTTTGATCTCTCGTCGAAACAGGCTTGATCCGATTAAAAGTTCTGAGCGTGAATCGTCACGGAAAACGTTTAAAGTTAACGCGCAGTCCAACAAGAGTGTCGAGCGCGATGTGAATTCAATTTTTTCCGAGTTGTCGATTCATGTATGTTTTCGTCGGTTTTCGAAGCATTTTCGTACGACGTTCGAATAGAATTCAAATAAAATGTACCGGAAGCAAGTGGATAATTGAAACGATAGGCATATGAAAAACGTACACGTGAAACGGTCTGACATTTTCTCGGTACCGAAATGCTTACATTTGTTTTCAAGCGAAAAGAACACAAAAGACTCTGGAATAACAATATGGCACTCGTGGCTTACCGTTGTTTATATTTGATGCACGAAATCGTAAATTTAAGAATGTTTTCTCGTTCTTTTTTTCGTCTTTTATTTTTATTTTTTTCTCCATTAGACTTCGTATTTTTACGGTCGTTAATGGCCGTGATGGACATTAATGTCTGGCTACAGAGCTCGGTTCCCCTAAACTTTTTACCGTATTTCAACCACCGCAGTGCAGAATGGAACGTCCGGGTCGCATTATTCCGCGCCACACAATGTACGCTTGTCGTTAAATAATAAACGAATTCGCGCGTACCTGCGACCAGGACGAAGATCTTGTTTAGACAGGAGCGTCAAAACACAGGAATGAACCTTAAGCATGCGCGTAATTTATTCACCACTATCATAATGTTAAGCTGTTACATAACTCTATAGACTGTTATCAATATATCATATCAAATCACTATAATACGAGTAACAATATGAGTTATGAATTAAACATAAATAGTTACTACATATTTACAATTATAACCATAAACAAATTAATAGAAGTAATATAAACTAAGTGCAAATCGCAAAATCTTGATTAGGAAAAAGTTGCAAAACAGCATTAGCAACCAAATGTATCCAGCCATCCAATATATACGCTCCGCTTATATATGTTACTATCATTTACTTTGTCTATGTTGATGTTAAATTAAAAAGTGTTAAATAAAATATCAGTAATACCGTAATGTGTATTCTTGATAATGTTATTGATCTAACTCTAAAATCCTTACATCCTAATATTGTGTAACCGTGTTGAACTCACAACTCGGCGCACTACACTAGTTGGTTTTGATAATTTATACTTGTACTTACTATTAAGATAATGTCATTTATATAGATATTAGATGATATTGATTTTTTATGTTTAAGATGTTTGTGAATTGTATTGTTAATACTCAATAAAATATTTAGTAAATGGCCTTTGTGTAATAAATTTTGATAAAGTCTGGTTCATAAAATGTTCAAATAGGTAATTGGATAAATGTAGATATAAATAAACATTATTAAAAGCCATTTCATTATATTAGATAGTTATTGCTGTTTTGATCTTTTTTTTTCAAATGTATCTGGTATATATATTGATTTATTTACTGAAATGGTGAAAGCAGTGTAAAATACGTATGTAGTATGTTCAAATTTTGAATAGTTTGATTCAAAACTGATATTATTATCGTATTATAGTGATTTGATATAATATATTGATAAAAGCTTAACATTATGATAGTGGTGAATAAATTACACGCATGCACAGAATGCATAAGGTGCATTCCTGTGTTCAGATGCTCCTATTTAGACAACGATGCTAGGCGCTATTAATCGATTGCTAACGCAGCAACCACAGTGACTGTGTTAACGTGCGCGATTTCTGTTCGCAGGATGAAGTGATAAAGGCACCGAGGCACGAGCGTTCAAAATGAGTTTCTTCACTTCGCTCCATCAAATAGTCACCAGCAGCGTGGCCAACCTGAACCTGAGCCCAAAGCGGTTCTCGTTGTCCAAGGAACCGGGACCGGACGGAGAAGAAACGGCAGCGGCCCTGGCGGCCGCGGCCACGACCGCGTCCAGTCGGTCGGCGAGCACGGGCAGCGTGAGCGGCATACCACGCATCGTGACGCCCCAGGGCAGCGGCGGCGGGCTCCGGACATCCGGGCCCAGAAGAACCGGATCGTTCAGGCAGATCTCTCAGCCCAGGAACCCGATGGCGTTCTGCAGGCGCAGGACCTCGTGGCCCGAGATCGATCAGACCGCGTCGTCTGGGTAAGTAAAGCCAAACACACGTATCGGCATCAAGCCTCTGTCAGCAACACCCCTCCATACGAGTGGCGAACGAAGTCGAGCCATCACGCCGCATTCGATTACCGCGCGAGCACCTCTGCGAAGTTATAATTGCTTTGGAAATAAATTAAAGAACACGTGAACTCGACGCGTGCGCCGGCGATTCAATTACGCTGGTAATGTGTTCCCTGGGTTTGTGTGTGTGTGGGGAGGGAGGTTGTGTGTAAAGTTCTCAGCCTGTGCGACGATATCGATTTTTCAGACCTGCGAACGAACTTCCGAGTGAAACGTTCACGCACTCGATCACTCGATCATTGTTGCACGTCACGTCGCGTCGATCTCTTTTACCGTCCTCGTCTTCCGACGGTCGTTGACGTGACGACGAACCGTATCGGCGCGGGTCGATTTCCATCTACCGTATCGATCTTGAGCCTCCCCACGTGCGCTTCCGTTGGACGTATCACGTAAACCGACGTCGTTCCGTTAACCATGAGTTGCAACGAAGTGCCCCGCGAACACGAGTTTTTTTTTTTTTTCTAATTTGAAAAACCGAACCACACTTTTATTTCAAAACATATCGCGTATAAATATTTATTTACGCGTTTTCCTACGGTTTTTTAACATTTCTCCGTTACTTATAATTATTTATAATTACTTCTAAACGAACGTTATTATAACTATGCTATCCGTGCAGTAAGGTACCGGTCGTGAACCGTTTAACATCGTGCTACTAATACAATTTAATTGTTACTAGAGTAATTACTGGAGTACAATGAAAGCGCAAAAGTTACACGAACGTTTACGATCGTTTGCTTTGTTCAACTCATTTTACATATCCAACTGATACAATTACGTACATTTCATGCGTAACATATTATTTAATTTTGGTCGCGTTACAAATCATATCCGAAATATATAGTTTTGTACGATGTTTGTTAAAATTTGGAAATATAATAATACGGAAGATACTTGAACTATTTCAAACGTATAACCGAGCGAGAAAAATGTACGCTCATTGAACATATCAAACATTTGTACGTGTTCGTTCACACTAAATTGTATTCGTTTAGCATTAAACTATAGAATATTTAAAGTATTTTGATTTATAATGTCATTATCACAGTGATTTTTATATTTAATTTATACTTTATCACAAGCCGGTTTTCTTTATCTCACGTTCAAAATTATTTTTAAGAAGTAATAACGTTGAATTTATTCTTCAATTTTACCAGATTGCATAACAATAATACTAATAATTAAACAACTTAAAATCGGTCTAATAAATTCCTCGGTGTAACTGCTTTAAATCATGACGATTTTGTATAAGGATTATTAGAATTATTACATTAAACAGAGGATATATTTTATATCAATAATTTATAATGTGATATTAAAACGGCTTGAGATAGATTTAGATATAAAATAAATATTGTAATTTTGCCAAAAATAGAATTTAATGAATAATTACGGTGTTAGTTAACATTTTAATCAAAGTTTAAAAACGTAAATTTCCGATGAGTTAAAAATACAATATTGACCAAAACGCCACGTTCAACATAGGACCAATAGCATAAATGGACAAACTTGGTACCTAATAATGTTCGTAGTGACGGGTAAAGGACAGATGAAAACCTACAAGATTAAATAATAAAGCAGTTATTATTAAGAGAGAATAAATTATATATCAATAAAATAAGTATAATTACATGTATAATAATTATACAGTTACTTATATAGTGTTATAATTATAATAATAAAAAAATATTGTTTGATTCTACTAGAACAAATTAATTGCCTTATTTCCTTCCAGAATTCCACGTTTATAATGTATTGAATGTTTAACTAAAGTTTAATGTAAATTAGTCGGAGAATCAGATAACAAATGAAATTAAAAATATTGCGTCATTTATTCTGCCGATAACGGTTTTACGATTATGTAATCAGATTCAAAAAGTAAAATACGGGTTAGAAAGAAAAATACACAGGAGTAAAGATCTGACGAATGCGTGGATTGTTTATTTATTTTTTTTCAAAGCCAGTCTCTGACAAAATAAAAGTATGTTACTGAACGCAGTAGTTTGAAGCTTAAACAAAGTTCTCGGGTTTGTTCTTTTTAAATATTTAATCATAATCGGCATTTCAACAACAATATATACATATAATTTTACATAACAGTTGACCATAGGTTCGTTTATTCAATTTTAAAGCCCAATATTTAAGTTTTGTATCCCTTTTTCTTTTCTAAAAATAAAATGGAATGCGCTTAATTTCTTTTTTCTACTGTTATCTTATTTAATAGTTATTACATTTTTTTAATTTAATTTTTAATTTTTGAAATAAAAAGTGATAAATGTAAATGTATTACAATTACTTTTTAGAAAAACTGTTAAGCAACATTAAATAAATAAACAGTTATTTGATAATAAAAGGTTTTTTTCTCAATCATTTAAAAAACTTTAGAGAAATTTAATAATTTAGTGTATGAATGCTTTAACTAAACAACATTATTTATCAAAAACGATCTTTCTTTTTTATGATAGATATACTGAATAGATAGAACTGTATAACAATAATAATAATAATAATAATAAACAAATAAAATACACATCAAGGTAAAATCAGTTCATTCCTAGAGCAACTAAGAAAAAAAAATTCTAAGAAACTAACATTTTATGTTGAAATAAAAATTAACCTGGATTCAAATGAGGAAACCCTGTATATTTTAGCTTCTGATGACTATTTCCAAAACTCGTATGTGAAATGTTGTTGACTATAAATTGCGACGAGCAAATATGTTTATTTTGAGAGTAAGGTATGGACTATTGTTGAAAAATGTGATGCACAATGAATGCGGACAAAAATAATAGCACGGAAAATATGAGATAAGCCTAAAATATAAATACATATTTAATGATCAAAATGCTCAAATGGGCTGAACGTCTGGACTAGTCTATGGATTAGGTACTAGAGATCTAGCGGTAAATCGAAATAAGGAAAGTGGAAAGAAAAAACGAGAAGGCCAAGATGAAACCTATTATAAATAATATTCAACGTAAATATTATCGAAATCTCCATAATATTATGTGTGAACTGTGGGTTAAAAATTTTTTAATGCTCACGTTAAGCATCCTAAACATTCTCACGGGCCGTTGAAATCCAAAGCATATTTTTGAAATATTACATTATTGTAATTACATTGATCGACCGAAGCTCTGTTTTATAGTTTGATGAAAAAAAAAAAAAAATGTTTCTACTATTATTATAGCGTCAGAGGCTGAAACTCCTGAAGATATAATCAATACGAATGATCACGAAAGCCAATGATAAACGAAAATAATCACTTACGCTCACCGGAGAATTATTCAACGAGACAAATGATCGGTTGTTTCGCGACTTGTCCGTGGACAATTAGTAAAATATCAGATTGTGTACGTCGCGTTAGCGTTTTCCCAGCGACCGACAGCTCGCGCGCGTACGTACCTAATATGTTTAGTGTACTCAATCCATGTTCGTTTATTCATACGAATTTTATACGTTTGCGCGAAGAGTTCTGCGGTCCGCGCATCCGATAAATTATGTAGTTTATTGTTCGGCTGAGAGTGAACCACTCAAGTGATACCGTATTTAAATCACATATCAGTAATAGTGATTATATTTTGATAATGCCTTAGTCCTGCGTTAATTATGATTGTTTTCGAGTATTACGGTTTTTGCATAGAACACGTGACACGCGATACTAACGACGCAAGCGCGACGATCGTACAGGTAACCGCCGTATTTCGCCGCACGGTCTGCTACACGAGTCTCATGTACCATCCTTAATTATATTCATTACTACCGATTGATGTTTTTCGATTCCAGTTCGTCGACTGTAAATCGTATTTTTATTTTATTCGTAATACCAAAACGTTACTGTCCGTTTCGGTGAACAATATTTTGCTACCGTAGCTTTGCATTTTTTACCGATCGAGACAAAAAAAAAAAAATACCAATTTCGCATTGACATAAAATCAAAATTATCATACATTTGAAAAATAAGATTTGTTAGTGCTTTTATATTTCTTTAATAAATATCTTTTTTTTTTCTAAGCTTATCATATGCAGTATAACATTTTCTCCAGATGACTTGATTCATTAAACCTAAAAGCAAAGTTTTTATATATGCTTTGCAATACTTCAAGATCAGAACAAGTCTCGTGGAGCACACCCTGTATAAGTATTTGCAGTGGTTAATGCCAACCACACGTTAATTATTATTGCAGAACAAACCGTCGTATATTATTCGTTCGTCCATCCTCCTCTTCCACTATTCACGGCTCACCCCTAGGTTTTCTTCGTTCGGATGGGTAAATGTTTTCCACGTTTCACGGTTTACATTAAATTTTTCATTATTCCATCCATATATTTAATGCGTGATGCGAAAGATTTCCATATGATGAACCTCATGCACGTTTACTCATACATAGTGCACAATTATTATTTATTTTTTTTTTTGTTTATTTCATATTTATAACTTATTTTGTGTACACGATTTAACGACGTCACTGGGGAATTACGATATAAATATAACATGGACGAGAAAAAAATATCATTACTGTTCACATAACGCACACTAGTTCGATAATTTAAATGGGTTTCTGAAATGAAACCAATTAGAAACAAATAATTTTTGTCTGTCAATATGTTGCGCCGATAGACAAGCAAAGGTTTCGATTCATTTTGGATTTCGAGCAAAGCAATAAGGGGAATAATAGGTATTGATTTTTCAATATTCTTTCATTTTCCGTCTACACACTTTTTTGCAAAGTAAAATCACTACAAAGGTTTTCTGCAGAATTGCATGAGCTCAAACGTTTGGATCAGAATATAATTATCACAGGTTCCTTTTCAATTTTCTCTGTCAATTTTCAATATTGATGAAAAACTAAAAACTATTTTTGAAATTACGTTCGGTTTTGAAGCGCAATCCATTTATATATAAT